CAATCACCATTGCAATTGTTTCCCATGAAAAGGGCCAGACAATCTGGTGAACTCTTTTAATATAGCCAGCTGTTTCTATGGCAATATTTACCATTGCAACCATGGGCAACATCACCATTATCATGCCCAGACTCAATCTGGTGAATTTTTGCTTAAAGTTGACAATTGAGGTCTGAGGTTCCACCCGAGATTTTGGAAACTCATACATTTGTTCAAGTTACAGTTCAGGGGTCCAGCTTTCTGCTAAGGTGGGCAAATGACAAAAAGTCGAGGTTCCACTGAGATTTAAACTCGTATCAACTGGATTCAGAGACCAGAAACGCTAACCATTACACTATGGAACCACATGGAAAGCAAGTTGACAAAGGAAAATTCAGATCCAGTAAAGGGTCCAGGTTTCTTTAAGGTTTGACCATTCAGTTTCCACCTGAGATTTTAACTCTGACATTTATGGCTGACGTTTATGTAGATTTACAATTTAGGGGACCAGCTTTTGGTGGGGGAAAATGACAGTGAGGTTCCCACCGAGATCGTAACTCGGACTCACTGGATTCAGAGATCCAGAGTGCTAACAATTACACCATGGAACCACACTTTTGTGAGTATCTGCTTAAAAAAATCATAAACAAACGCTTTGGATCTTATATAGTTTTCCAGTTGTGATTGAAGGGTGGGTCCAACTGTCTTCAAAGTGAGAGCTGTCATCAAAGGGTGGATTTTGGTTCCACCCACCAAGATTGACTTAAAAATATTTTCTAGTTACAAATCAGGGGTCTAGCTTTCTTAATGCAAATTTCCTTAGCAACTTTTTTCTTGGGAGCTTGTTTACAGTATACATAGTTATGGTTTCCAAAGTGTTTCCATTCAATCACTATGGAAACTGTTTGCCTGTTGAAACCAGCACTACACAAGCAACTGTCACCATGAACAACGCCCATGACAACAGACAAACAGTCTGGATCATTTCTAGCAACTTGTTTTTTGAGACTTTGTTTTCAAGAATATTTTTCCTCATCATCAATTTTTTGTTATAGTAAATAGGCTTATGAATATGGTAACTGCGTTATTACACTCTTTAAGTTGTGGTTGATTTAACCATCATCACAAAACAGTTTTTAATCCAGTTGTATGATGTCCGGACCCTCGTCCACTGTGAGCTGATCAAGTTAGTGGACCACTTTAGAAGGTAACCCTGTCCTGGGATCATCAACATTGTCCATTGACCCTCCTCAATTAACCAGGAAAGAAGCTTTAATGAGAAGGGAGGCAGCGTCTGCAGCAGAGCTTGGTTAGACGTTGTGGTAAAGATGGAGCTGAGTCAAAACGCAAAGCTCAATTTCTCACTTTCCATCACATGTTCCTCCCTCACCTCTGATCAAGAGCTTATGGGTCATGGCTGAAAAGATGATCGCGGGAAAAATACGTGGTCCACCACGTACGTTTCCTCTGCTCCCTTAGAGAGAGAGAGGAGTGGAGTCATCACAAGAAGAGCTTGGAGTAAGCGGCATGTGCGACAATGGGCATTTAGTGGATCCAACAACAGACTTTCCAGTGTGAATTTCCAAAAGGTTGATTGATCAACAATAATCCAATCACAGAAACAGTTGGAAACAAAAGGTTTCGTTTCCAGTTTCTTACTCGGGAAAGGTCTGAGTACGAAACAAACATCACACAAACACCAGTAGATGCACAACTTTGGGTGACGGACCATGAGGTAGTGGATGTGTCGCTGCTCTTGGTGCCCAGCCTGTGGGGAGCGTGCTGGGGCAGGAGCAGCCGTACCGTCCAGTGGATGATGGGACCAGGTCAGGGGCCGAATAACAGACAGAAGACTCACCGAGCGACAACGAAGATACATTATCTTTTAGTTTGTTGCAAAAACAAGGTGTTGTGCCGCGGACGAGCAAGAGTAGGCTTACTTCAAGGGCAGGAGTTTTTCTCTCATATCAAGTGGAAATGGCTTGAGAAAAAAACTGATAAAACTTAATTTGTAACAAGAAAAGATTTTTCATGTTTCGCTGGTTAGAAGTTCCTCTTGGATGTTTGTTAATGGATGGAGTTTTACTCTTGCAGTTCATGTTTGTACCTGGCCATATCTGCAGGTGGAAAGCCAGACGCTGTCAGAAGCTCTGATGCTAAGCAGGGCTGGGTACATGAGATGGGAGACCTCTGGGAACACCTGGGGCCACAGTAGTGTGGCTGAGGCTGTAAAGTGCAACAATTGTGGTTGTGTCCTTAGGCAGACACTTCACATTAGAATGAGTCTGGAGTGTGTGGGAGGGGGCTGATGGCACAGACTGGTTGCCTTGAAGCATCTTTGACAGTCCAAAAAAGCTACTGTATATAAACCAATGCATTATTGCATAGGTGCATTCACACACAACTTGTGAACGTTGCCCGTGTCAATGTCACGTTTGAAGTTGCTGTGTCTAACAAAGTTACAGATGAGCCCTTTTTTGATTCCTGACTATCAAGCTAGTTTGTAAAATACTAACCTGCTACCTACAGTCAGAACCTCCTATTTAGAGCCTTTCCACATACTAGTTTTTAGTAGCATTTAAAAGTTTTTTGTTTATTTCTTAATATAACACCCCCATCTGCACTAAAATTACTATACAAACTCACAGGTATCACTTTATCCGCTGAACATGTCCTCTTTAAATCCGCCCATTCAGACCCGTTCCCCTTTAAGCGCAGTCACTTACGCTAAACTCCTCTGGTCAACATGCAGGATTAGATGGACACTTAAGACTCACCTGCGAGCTGCACTCACGAAACAAAGTGTCACACCCTGGATCGGGCAGAGTGGGGCTTTTCAGGGGGCCTGTACCTTGGGGGGTGGGAGGTGGGTGGCCCCTTGGGGTGCTGCAGCAGGTGTGAATCTGATGGAGTGGGGTGCTGAGTGGACGCAGCAGGACAAAGGGAAAGGCCGGGAGGGACTTATCGGTCCATTTAGACACAGTCCCACAGTGTGGACAGTGACTCAGACAGAGATGGAAGAACCCAATCACAAAAGCTGTCACACCAAACAGATTCATTTTATTTGAAGTAAACTGGGAAAATGCTCAAGACTTCGAAACGTTGTTTAGTTTGAACCCAAAGGGATAGGCTTGAAGGAAAATTCTTTAGGTACAAATGGTTTTAATCTTAACTATATAGACATTGATATTGTGTGTGAGCATATATCTGTAAGTGTTATTCACAGGTGGGAACCGATATGTGTATTCTTCCCCTCCCACTCCTTTTTGAGTTTGAATCATGTACAATTTATAAGTCATTGTTAATAAATTATATGGTAACAAAAACCTATGTAGTGACCATTTTATAATAATATCTGATTTACATTGAACTCAAAACAAATAAACACTCAACTCAACAATATATAGGCGTGTATCCTGGTGTTTATGTGTATCATGAACGTGTGTATCTATATATCATAATAATGTATATATATTATATACATACAGACCAAAAGTTTTTTATTTTCATGATTATGAAAATTGTAGATTCACAATGAAAGGCATCAAACCTATGATGAACTCATGTGAATGATGTTCGTACTGAACAAAAGTATGAACCAAGTGGTAAATATGTGTTATATTCTAGTTCTTCACAGTAGCTCCTTTGGCGTCTGATACTGCTTCACTCTTGGGCATTCTCTGGATGAGCTTCAAGAGGACCTGAAATGGTCTTCAACAGTCTTGAAGGAGTTCCCATGATGCTTAGCACCTTGTTGGCCCTTCACTCTGCTGTCCACCCCAAAACCACCTGGACTGGGTTCACGTCCGATGGGACTGTTGAGGTCATGTGGCCCAGCACCCATCTCTCTCCTTATTGGTCAAACAGCCCTACACAGCCTGGGTGTGGATCCTACAGTCATGAAAAGGAAAGGACAACTTTGTATGGGCGACAGTAGCTCATTTGGTAAGACCAACGCTTTACGCAAATGAGCTACTCTGTCGCCCATACAAAAGTGTCCTTTCCCTTTTCATGACTGTAGGACCACACCAGGCTGTGTAAGGGCTGTTTGACCAAATAAGGAGAGAGATGGTGCTGGGCCACAAGACCTCAACAGTCATCGGACGTGAACCCCAGTCCAGGGATGGTTTTGGGCTGGACCACAGAGTGAAGGGCCAACAGTGCTAAGCATCATGGGGAACTCCTTCAAGACTGTTGAAGACCATTTCAGGTCCTCTTGAAGCATCATCCAGAGAATGCCAAAGTGAAGCAGTATCAGAGCCAAAGGAGCTTACTTTGAAGAAATTGAATATACACATATTTACACTTGGTTCATACTTTTTTAGTAACGAACAATTCACATGAGTTTTCATCATAGGTTTGATGCCTTCATTGTGAATCTACAATTTTTCATAATCATGAAAATAAAAAACTTTTGGTCTGTACTGTATATATATATATACATATTATGATTTATAGATACACCTCGTTTCATGATAACAACATAAAACACCAGGATACACGCCTATATATTGTTGAGTTGAGTGTTTATTTGTTTTTGAGTTCAATGTAAATCAGCTATTATTATCAAATGTCACTACATAGGTTTTTGTACCATAATAATTTATTAACCACATGAATTATAAATTGTACATGATTCAAACTCAAAAAGGAGTGGGAGGAAGATTACACCATATCGGTTCCCACCTGTGGAATACACACTTACAGATATATGCACACACACAATGATCAATGTCTTATATAGTTAAGATTAAAACCATATGTACCTAAAGGAATTTTTTTCCTTCAATCCTATCCCCTTCTTGGTTCAAACTAAACAACGTTTCGAAGTCTTGAGCTTTTCCCAGTTAACTCAAATACAATGAATCTGTTTGGTGACAGGCTTTTTGTGTTCGGGTCCATCCATCTCTGTCTGGTCACTGTCCACACTGTGACTGTGTCTAAATGACCCGATAAAGTCCCTCCCGGCCTTTCCCTATGTCCTGCTGCGTCCCACTCATTAAACAACCCACTCCATCAGATCACACCTGCTGCAGCACCCAAGGGCCACCCACCTCCCACCCCCAGGTACAGGCCCCTGAAGCCCCACTCTGCCGATCCAGGGTGTGACCTTTGTTGTGAGTGCAGCTCTGCAGGTGAGTCTTAAGTGTCCAATCAATCCTGCATGTTGACCAGAGGAGTTTAGGCTAAGTGACTGCGCTTAAAGGGGAACGGGTCTGAATGGGCGGATTTAAAAAGACATGCAGCGGATAAAGTGATCACCTGTGAGTTGTGTATAGTATTTTTAGTGCAGATGGGGTGTTAAGAAATAAACAAAAAACTTTAAATGCTAAAACATTTTGTGGGAAAGGCTAAATAGGAGGTCTGACTCGTAGGTAGCAGTTAGTATTTTACAACTAGCTATAGTCAGGAATCAAAAAGGGCTCATCGTAACTTATGTTAAGAACACAGCACACTTCAAACGTGACATTGACACGGGCATCTTCACAAGTTGTGTGTGAATGCACCTATGCGCAATAATGCATTGGTTTATATACAGTGCTTTTTTGGACTGTCAAAGATGCTTCAAGGCAACCAGTCTGTGCCATCAGCCCCTCCCCACACACTCCAGACTCATTCTAATGTGAAGTGTCTTGCCTAAGGACACAACCACAATTTTGCACTTTACAGCCTCAGCCACCCTACTGTGGCCACAGGTGTTCCCAGAGTCTCCCATCTCAGTACCCAGCCCGCTTAGCATCAGAGCTTCTGACAGCGTCTGGCTTTCACCTGCAGATATGGTCCAGGTACAAACATGAACTGCAAGAGTAACCCATCCATTAACAAACCATCCAAGAGGAACTTCTAACCAGCGAAACATGAAAATCTTTTCTTGTTACAAATAAGTTTTTATCAGTTTATTTCTCAAGCCATTTCCCACTTGATATGAGAGAAAACTCCTGCCTTGAAGTAAGCCACTCTTGCTCGTCCCCGGTCACACACCTTGTTTTGCAACAAACTAAAAGATAAATGTGTCTTCGTTGTCGCTCGGTGAGTCTTCTGTCTGTTATCGCCCTGACCTGGTCCCATCGGGATCACTGGCGGTCCGGCTGCTCCTGCCCAGCACGCCTCCCCACAGCTGGGCACCAAAGCAGCGACACATCCACACCTCATGTTCCCGTCATCCCAACCAAATTGTGCATCTACTGGTGTTGTGTGATGTTTGTTTCGTAACGCAGACCTTTCACGAGTAAGAAACTGGAACAGAAACCTTTGTTCCAACTGTTTCTGTGATGGTTATTGTTGATCAATCAACCTTTTGGGAATTCACAACTGAAGTCTTTGTTGTTTTGATCCACTAATGCCAATGTCGCACATGCGGCTACTACTCCAAGCTCTTCTTGTGTGACTCCACTCCCTCTCTCTCTCTAAGGGAGCAGTAGGAAACTAACGTGGACCCGTTATCCGCGATCATCTTTTCAGCCATGACCCAAAGCTCATGATCAGAGGTGAGGGAGGGAACAGAGATTGAGGAGAAATTGAGCTTTGCGTTTTGACTCAGCTCCATCTTTACCACAACCGTCTAACAAAGCTCTGACTGCAGACGCTGCCACCCTTCTCATTAAATGCTTCTTTCCTGGTTAAATTGCGGAGGGTTCAAAGGGACAATTTGATGATCCAGGACAGGGTTACCTTCTTAAAGTTGTCCACTAACGTGATCAGCCTCAGTGGACTAGGGGTCCGACATCATACAACTGGATAAAAATGTTTTGTGATAGTGGTTAAAACACCACAACTATAAAGAGTGTAATACGCAGTACCCATATTCATAAGCCTATTTACTATAACAAAAAATGATTAGAAAAATATTCTGAAACAAAGTCTCAAAAAACAAGTTGCGTAGAAATGATCCAAGACTGTTTTTGTCTGTTGTCATGGTCCGTTGTCATGGTGACAGTTGCCTTGTGTAGTGCTGGTTTCCAAGGCAACAGTTTCCATAGTAAGATTGAATGGAAATCACTATGGACAACCATAACTATGTAACTGTAAACAAACTCCAAGAAAAAAAAGTTTGCAAGAAATTTGCATTAAGAAAGCTAGACCCCTGATTTTGTAACTAGAAAATATTTTTAAGTTCAAATCTTGGTGGAACCAAAATCCACCTTTGATGACAGCTCTCACTTTGAAGACAGTTGGAACCCACCTCAATCACAACTGGAAAACTATATAAGATCCAAGCGTTTGTTTATGATTTTTTTTAAGACAGGATACTCACAAAATGTGGTGTCCATGGTGTAATGTTAGCACTCCCTGGACTCTGAATCCAGTGATCCGAGTTCGATCTCGGTGGAACCTCACTGTCATTTTCCTCACCAAAAGCCTGGACCCCTAAATTGTAACTCTAAATAAAAGTCAGTAGTTAAAATCTCAGTGGAACTGAATGGTCAACCTTAATGAAACCTGGACCCTTTACTGGACTTAATTTTCCTTTGTCAACTTGCCTTTCCATGTGGTTCCATAGTGTAATGGTTAGCGTTCTGGTCCTCTGAATCCAGTGATCCGAGTTTAAATCTCAGTGGAACCTCGCTGTCATTTGCCCACCTTTAGCAGAAAAGCTGGACCCTGAAACTGTAACTTGAACAAATGTAAAAGAGTTTCAAATCTGGGATGGAACCTCAGCCTCAATTGTCAACCTTTAAGCAAAATTCACCAGATTGAGTTGGCATGATAATGGTGATGTTGCCATGGTTTGCAATGGTAAGATATTGCCAGAGCAACAGCTGCTATATTATATAGATTCACCAGATTGTCTGGCCCTTTTCATGGAAACAATTGCAATGGTGATTGTTTTCCATTGTAATGTTGCAATGGTAATTATTTTTCCATTGCAATGGTTACAATGGTTAACTACCCATAGCAACGGTTGGCCAATGGTGACTATTGCCGTAGCAACGGGCCCATGGTTACAATTACCATAGCAACAGTTGCAATGGAAACTATTGCCAATAGCAACGGTTACCAATGGTAATTATGCCATAGCAACGGTATACCAGGGTGGATATTGCCATAGCAACGGTTTGCCATGGTGACTAATTACCAATAGCAACGGTTGCCATGGTGACTATATTACCATAGCAACGGTTGCCAATGGTGGCTATTACCATAGCAAACGGTTGCCATGGTGACTATTACCATGCAACGGTTGTCATGGTGACTATTACCATAGCAACGGTGCCAGTGGTGACTATTACAAATAGCAACGGTTTGCCGTGGTGACTCATTGCCATAGCAACGATTGCATGGTGGACTATTGCCATAGTACGCCACGGTTGCCATGGTGACTATTGCCATAGCAATGGTTGCCATGGAGACTACCATAGCAACGGATGCCATGGAGACTACCATAGCAACGGTTGTCATTTTAATGGTAACAGTTGCAATGGTGATTTGTTCCAGCCTAGTCATTGGTTGCCATAGTGACTATTGCCTTAGCAATGGTTGCCATAGCAACATTTTGTCCATATTAAAAATGAGATTTACTCGATTGTCTGGGCCATTTTGACGTGGTCGGCACTAGATCATAATACGGAAATCGGGACTGAAAACCGGAAGTAAACACTCCTACTTTTGAATTAGTTTTAGACCTAATAAGTCCTTAAGTGGTGACTGGCTACGTTTTACGGCGTCTGAGGTAAGATGGTGTTAGGGTTAAAGGTGGGTTGGGTTTTTTTATGGGGAATGGCTGGTTCAGTTTAGGCATGAATAGGTATTTGTTATAATTATATTACTTCCGCTTCCGTCCCCGTTTCCGTATATGAGCTAGTGCTGACCGTTTTGTCACCAGATGAACCATAGACAGTTAATATTTATGCCATATTCTTTGTCTCCTTCTCCTCCTTGTCTCCTCCCTCCTCCTTGTCTTCCTCCTTCTCACTCTGAGCTTTCTGTGCACAATCTCCACATAATTATCTTTTTCTCACAAAATTACAGATGAATAGGATTTTTTTTGTGAAACCAACAGGCTTCTATGTGTTTATTTTCATTATCTGCATTTCTTAGTTTAACTGTTCGATTCTCTGGGTAGGCCTCATTGGATCCTAACCCCCCCCACACAACACACTCACCTCTCTGTCAGACCAGTGGTCGTTCCCAGGGCTGTGCATTGTTTGGAGAGGGATTAAAATTCAGCTCAAGTCCCCTCTGGCAGGATGGGCAGGTGGGTCAGGGGGCGTGGGGCAGGTGACCCCTGATCAGGATGGGTGCCTCCCGCACTCCACAGTTCTGCTCTGACGTCTCCTCATTGTTCTCATACTTTAATCTCAGCTGAATTTTTAATCCTCTCCAAACAATGCACAGCCCTCGGAACATACCACTGGTCTGACAGAGAGGTGAGTGTGTGTGTTGGGGGGGGTTTAGGATCCAATGGGCCTACCCAGAGAATCGAACAGTTAAAACATAAGAAATTGCAATAATGAGAAAAACACATAGAGCCTGTTGGTTCACAAAACAAATCTATTCATCTTAATTTTGTGAGAAAAAGATAATTATGTGGAGATTGTGCACAAGAAAGCTCAGAGTGAGAAGGAGAAGACAAGGAGGAGGAGGAGACAAGGAGGAGAGGAGACAAGAATATGGCCATAAAATATTAACAGTCTATGGTTTCATCACTGGTGACCAAAAACGGTCATCACTAGATCAATATACGAAACGGGACGGAAGCGGAAGTTAATATAAATATAAGCAAACTACCTATTCATGGCCTAAACTTAACCAGCCATTCCCATAAAAAAACCCAACCCACCTTAAACCCTAAACAACCATCTTACTCAGACGCCTAAAACGTAGCCAGTCACCACTTAGAGACTTATTAGTCTAAAACCTAATTCAAAAGTAGGAGTGTTACTTCCAGGTTTCGTCCCGATTCCGTATAGATCTAGTGCCGACACACGTCAAAATGGCCAGACAATCGAGTAAATCCTCATTTAATTTGACAAATGTTGCTATGGCAACCATTGCTGAAGGCAATAGTCACTATTGCAACCATACTAGGGTGGAACAATCACCATTGCAACTGTTACCATTAAAAGACAACCGAAGGCTAGGTAGTCTCCATGGCAACCGTTGCTATGGGTAGTCTCCATGGCAACCATTGCTATGGCAATAGTCACCATGGCAACCGTTGCTATGTGCAATAGTCACCATGGCAATCGTTGCTATGCGCAATAGTCACCACCGGCAACCTTGCTATGGTAATAGTCACCATGGCAACCGTTGCTATGGTAAATAGTTCACCATGGCAACCGTTGCTATGGTAAATAGTTTTCAACCATGGCAACCGTTTGCTATGGTAATAGCCACCATGGCAACCGTTTGCTATGGTAATAGTCACCATGGCAACCGTTGCTATGGTAAATAAGTCCACCATGGCAACCGTTGCTATGGCACATAATCCACCTTGGTAACCGTTGCTATGGGCAATAATTACCATGGTAACCGTCTGCTATTGCAATAGTATTTCCATTGCACTGTTTGCTATGGTAATAGTAACCATGGGCCGTTGCCTACGGCAAATAGTCACCATGGGCAACCGTTGCTAATGGGTAGTTAACATGGGTAACCATTGCAATGGAAATAATTACCATTGCAAACATTTAAAATGGAAACAATCACCATTGCAATTGTTTCCATGAAAAGGGCCAGACAAATTCTGGTTGTCCTCATCTTAATATAGCAAAAGCTGTTGCTATGGCAATATTTACCATTGCAACCATGGCAACATCACCATTATCATGCCAACTCAATCTGGTGAATTTTTGCTTAAAAGGTTGACAATTGAGGCTGAGGTTCCACCCAGATTTGAACTCTTACATTTGTTCAAGTACAGTTCAGGGTCCAGCTTTCTGCTAAAGGTGGGCAAATGACAGCGAGGTTCCACTGAGATTTAAACTCGGATCACAATGGATTCAGAGACCAGAACGCTAACCATTACACTATGAACCACATGGAAAGCAAGTTGACAAAGGAAAATTAAGTCCAGGTAAAGGGTCCAGGTTTCTTATAAGGTTGACCATTCAGATTCCACTGAGATTTTAAACTCTGACTTTTTATTTAGAGTTACAATTTAGGGGTCCAGCTTTTGGTGGAAAATGACAGTGAGGTTCC